TAAGGAAGTAAGAAATTATTGATCATAATTATAGGCTTACGCGTAGTATTTAATTACTAGTGAGAGTTGGTCCACTCCACATGCTGCATAATATTTACGCCATTGAAATAAAATGAAATGTAATAAAAAGACCAAAAGATCTCCACGGCCGTAGTTGCCTGTCAAAGTTGACCGTATTGGGCTCCACACGCTGCGCAATTACACCTATAAATACTCCCATCTTTCGTTTCAAAGCATTCAACAATCTCATTACTCTTTCATTCTTTGCTTATTTCAATTACAACTTCTTTGTTTTTCAGCAATGGCCAAAGTTATTAATGTAAGCTCAAGCGCCGTGATGATGGCGTTGGTCTTTGCAGCTTTTGCAATGGCCGCAACCACTATCTCTGCTCAAAGTAGCGAGCTGGCTCCGGCACCACCTCCTTCTTTGGACACCGGAGCTGCCTTCTCTCTGCCGGTTTCCGGTGCCATCATTGGCTCCTCCCTTTTTCTCTCCCTTTTTGCTCTCTTGAAGCACTGAAGAAATTTGCTTGTGTACACATGGTTTGTATTAGCGAGAGACGGGGATAATTCATTGTATTGGAAGTTGGGTAAATTTTGGATGTATTTATTATTTATACTATTAATAAAATAATGTATCAGTGAATTCATTTATTTAAAGTATATTTTAGAGTTAATTAATTTGCCATGATTTGCAAAGCCTATAAAAGTTTTTTCTCCAAATCATAGGGAAATGCTAATTTGATAAGGTTTTAATTATGGGATTTTTTTTAATTTCATATCTCATTAATTAGTACAATATATGTGCCTGTAAACTGGTGGCCGTGTTAATGGGTGAGATGAGGGACTGAAGTTGAAGAAGATGAAGCTAATAATGAGGGAAATGACTAAAGTAGCGATTATTAACCTTATTAATTATGTTAATTCGAAAGTTTTATAGGTCAAATTCATAAGACCCAAATGAATTATTTAAAAACACAACCCACGAAGCATCTAAACTGGATTTGATGCTTCAAGGGTGTTTCCATTCTAATTAATGGTATTCTCATACATAAAGGAATTAATTGATGATTAATGTTATCGTATCTTTAATTTTACATTTTGTTAAATTGGAATTAATAGTATACAAACCAACAATAGGTTAGCCGAGTGGTAAAGGATTAGGACAAAAGGGTTTGCTCCTACTGTAGTCTCAGGTTCAAATCACAGGAACGATTATTAATATTGTTAGTCACGGACCGCAGAGCTTGCCTCCTTTCGGAAGCCTTGTTCGGGGTCAAAAGACTAGTTGAAGTACACATAAACTGACATGGACTTCCCCAGTAACCAAAAAAAAAAAAATTAATAGTATACACTTTAAAAAGTGAATAATACTTTGCGTACTAACGGATTTTACTAACCAGTGTACTAACCTTTGTTAAAATCACACATAGTACCCGTACTATGCTTTAATTAGTACACAGATTAGTATCCATCCGTTAGTACCCATAGCATCACTCTTAAAAGTAGTATTCAACTGTTCTGGGTGTGTGCTGCTTTGTAAAGGGATTGTATATTCTAGTTCTCTTTTGTTTCTTTTTGAGCTACATAGTCCCTTGTTGGTTTCAAGGGTTGTGGTGTTTGTGGGGCTTGCTCGGATAAGTTTTGATAAAATTATCAGTTACCAAAAGAAAGAGTGTAATTTACTTACCTAAATTGCTCCAATTAAATTTTATAATACTATTAATTTAACATAATATGTTTACAAAGTTAATTTATTTTTCACTTTATTTTTAATCATTGAGCAATATTAATATGCGAAATTGTTGAGGGTAATGGCAATGGCATTATGAATTTGTAAGTATTATTATTTTTTTTTAAATCAAACAACAAAATTTGTAAGTAACAAAACAAAACACAACCACAGTACTCCTGTCTTGGTGTGACATTAATTTGAGTATATTGGGCACCATAAGCCGCGCAAAAGCACCTATTAAATATAATACTCCATCAACCTTCCCTCTGTGGCATTAATTGAACAAACCCATTACTCATTCTTCACCTACTAATTTAACTACAATAGTTGTTAATCTGTTTTGTTCAGCAATGGAGAAAATTAGCAGCTCAAAGGCCGTGATGATGGTGTTGGTTTTGGCAGTGGCTGCAGCTACTGTCTCAGCTCAAAGTAACGGGATGGCCCCGGCACCATCTCCTTCTATGGACACTGGAGCCGCCTTCTCTCTCCCGGTTTCTGGTGCCATTGTTGGGCCGTCTCTTGTTCTATCCGTTTTTCCTCTGTTCAGGCACTGAACAACTTTGTTTGTTTAACACAGACAATGTTGTATTATTGAGGACTGGAATTATGTTGGATAACTGGATGTAATCTTTCTGTTTTTAATATTGTTGAGTATAAATAAAGAGTAGTTTTATTCAAGCCCCACTCAAACTCCTTGTAAACTCCAAAATTGAATTAAAAAAAAATTATTTAAATAAATTTTAATTTATTCCAAAATTATCTTTTTAACCTACTTCTCTTCTTCCCAATTATGGTGAGAAACAAGGGCTTCGTTTGGTTCAAGATTGGGAATACTACTCTTAGTATTCCCAAAAAAGTTAAACAGTAAAATACCCAAAAACTCTCGGCTTCGTTTGGTTGGATTTTGGGAATACTACTTTTAGTATTCCCAAAAAAGTTAAACAGTAAAATACCCAAAAACTCACAATATTATTCAACTTTATTCAACATTTTTTAAACCCCCTAAATTTGTTAATTCAATTAAATACCCCTAAATATTTTTAATGTTTTTGTTACGGCGACTCCGGCCACCCTCCGGCGGTGGTGGCCGGCTGTCCGTATTTGAGGGTGGATTGGGGGTGCTTTTGTTAACTTTTAATATTTTATTATAAGAGGTGTTTTGTAAAAAAATAAACATAGGGGGTATTTTATCAATTTGTAAATCCTACATCGTAATACCCGCCCAATTCAACTTTTTTTTAACTTTTTTCAAAAAACTTTTCCCAAAACCCCCAAATTTTGAACCAAACGGAGCCAAGAAAATTAATATCGAGATTTCATATAAATAAAAAATGGGTCAAATAGAGTTTGGGTGGGGTTTAATTAACAAAACTCCAAATTAAAATGCGTAAAGCCCAATTAAAAGAGTCCTCAAGTAAGACCGAGTTAAGTGGGAGTGGGCTTGAAATTTGAATTAAGATGATCTAATAATGTGGTTCAAATCCAAGAGGCAAATTGATCAAGTCAACTTATATTTATAATAACAACGTGCCATAACTTCTGGACCATAGATTGTTAACTGCCCAGAGGCTCTTATGTATGGTCAATGGCTTGTACAAACTCACCAAAATTCAATACCAGTTACCTTGAAACTTTCTATCAACTTCTAATATTGACTTAAGCATAAGGGAGAGAGAACATACTGGTAACCCCAACGGCATCATTTTTTGTGACAAATCTCAGACTCAGGTTAATGGAAAATTAGCTGATCAAGAAGGGCAGCTCACAATCTCAGACAAGTGAACCGAGCCTATACAAACAATCTCTAAACAGAAGCTGCAGCACATGACATAAGCAGTAGCAAACCACGTAACATCAACCAAAGGTTGATAAATAGATCACTACAGAGACTCATTAATAAATTGCATCATCTAAAAAGTGAATCTGATCATTTCAATTACATCATTCCGTTAGGTCTCTACACATTTTTTATGCCAAATTTTAATTACTCTAAAATATACGTATTAAAAAGAAAAACTAGGGAAATTTTGAGATAACTGGTTAAAAAGATAATATTTCCATCTTGAATGTAGCTATGGTGGATGAATCTTGACAGGCTGAATATCATATCTATTGACAAGGATATAATTATATGAAATATGATTAAATTGACAGCAATTGATTGAAAGAGAGATATAATAAAAGTGTAGAATTGCTGTCACAGTTTCCTTGTTACGATAATTTCTCCGTGTTTAAAAAAATGCAAAAATAAAAGGAAAATGCCGTAGGAGTTTGGTAAACTCTATTACTTTATTTTTTTCCCAGCTGTCCAGAAAATGCATCAACTACCTACCCAAATTGATAACCCAACCAATTATTTCTGACCATCATAAAAAAACTAGGTTATTCCAACCAATTATTAAACTATGGATTAAACATAAATTTTCAAAGTTTGTTCATCTTATGACCCAGTTAATGCATTTACCCCGTCCGTTCAAGTCTTTGTCCAAGTCCATAATTTAAATAACCAAAACCTCAGGTGGATAAAGGCTCCTTTATCACTTCATCTTATAATATTTTAGAACCTTTATATATTAATTAGAAAATAGTTGGTCAAAAACATTTAAATCTAATAATATCCTACCAAACATGAATAATACAGTACAACTATAGTAGGTTTCACATTGAGAATAAAACGTAAAGAATTGTTCAAGAATTGCGGTGTCCACTTTGTCAGTTTCAGCTCCAACTTGTCAATGGATCTCTATATAAACACTCTCCCTAAACCCCTTTCAGTATCTCACCACATTTACATTTCTCCTTCTGTAAATACTTATTTCATTATTTGAATCCCTTTCAATCACAATGGCCTCTGATAGCTTTTCAAAGAACGTTATGATCACCTTCATGGTGGCTCTCTTCTTGGTCTCTGCTGCTTCAGTTTCAGCTCAAACTGGGGCAGTTCCGCCATCAACAACTCCTTCGTCGGAGCCCGGAGCTGCATTCTCTCTGTCGGCTTTTACTTCTGTTGCCGGGTTCTCCATCATACTTTCTGTTCTCGCTCTCTTGAACCACTAAATGTTTTGTTTATGAAGAGGATGATTTTATTTGATATGAGTGGGGTTTGTTATTGTGTAGAATAGATTCACTCTTTGTTATTCATTGTGAATTTACATTTAATGTATCTTAATAAAACAGAGATTGGTGTAAAATGTTTTGTTATATTGAAATATGTTGACAATTTATTTTCTATGCTTGCTCTAACTTCGATGATATACAAATATACAAGATACAGAAAGTTAAATGATTTTTACCATTCAAATCTGAACATTAGATTCTTGTATAAGTTAAATGAATGTTGGATAATTGTCCTTCAAGAAGCAGTCCCGTTGGATTCTTGAATGTCCAACTCATGCTCCGCTACCATGATGCATGAATCGGCTTCCAGAGAAGAGACTGAGTTCTTGTCTTTCAACACGGATTCTTTGGGTGAGTTCAGCATCTCTGTTGTGCACTGGACATCAGGTGTTATGCCCACCTGGTCTATGTCGTGAAGAGCAGGCGATAAATACTTCGCGACCGTTACAAACAGAGCTGATCCATCATGCAACTCTGTCACACTCTGTAGCAAGAATGATTCAGAATAGCTCAAACAATTAGCATCAGTTAAAACTAGATAGAGGTAGTGGGAAAAGTTCACAAGGGCCTGCCATAGAATTCTACTTCAAGGCAGTCTTGAAATGAAGAATCAATTAACAGTGTTCATTATTGAAATAACACAGAGATGAAGGAAATTAGGGTGAAGACAAATTGTTAGTTCTTCATATGCAGTGTCCATATTCTGTGGTTCACTGTCAAATCAAATAATAGGCAGTTTGATAACCGCAGAAAGAAGTTTCTTTTTTTTTTGTGTGTGTGTGTGTGTGTGTTTTTTTGTTTTGACTTAGAATTTTATAGGCATAATTTTTGAAGCATTGAAACTAAAGACACCAATGCCATGCCAGGGACAATACACTAATAACCAACATACCTGAATTTTTCCCTTGCCAAAGGTTTTGTGGCCTACAAGGATAGCTCGGCCATTGTCATGCAATGCCCCTGCTAATATCTCACTTGCACTTGCACTTCCCTCATTGACCTGTTTCAAGCATTGAAAGCCTCAGTTAAACGGCAAGGAAAATTATGTAGCAGGATTAGGAAAATAGTCTAATGCTTTGGGACTCGAGTATTGAATTTTCTGCACAGATATTTGATGCAGTAGATGCAACACCTATGCTATAAGTTTCTGAGAAAATGCAGGAATCACATTGAAAATTTTGAAGCCAGGTCTTACTTCAGTAATAAATTATAGTCAACTTCGCTTTTGAGGCAAAAAAAGAGGTCATAAATGTTAAAAACAAATGGGAATACGTGGTTTTATATTGGCTCAAATCCAATTTGGGTTATAAAATATCCAAACTCAGTCCAGACCTGATGTAGGTGGGTTGCAATACATGGATGTCAAGCTAAAAGGCATATACAACATTGACCATTTCAGTTCTTTGAATTTGTGCAGCTCATTTAACAGAAATAACTATTCTTAAGTTTTATTTTTGTCGAATAAAGACTTGCATATCTAGCTTAATACTTACAAGTACAACAAGTGGATCATGAGTTACTGCATGTCCGTTGACCATATTGATAGGTGACATATGGCCGTCCCTGTCGATTGTGTTCACAAGAGTCTCATCGCCATCCAACCATATTTGGGCAACATCAAGCCCTGCTTTAACCAGGCCTCCCTGGTACATGAATATTCAAGAGAAGAAAGAAAACATTATGAACAATTTAAAGTTGAAGATCAGACAAATAAATAATTGTTCAAGTAAATTTACTACAGCCAAAGTGAAAAGTGTATAGGAAATTACTGGATTGTTCCGCAAATCCAATATGTATGACTGTACTCCTTGATTTTCCATTTCTTGAATTGCATTTTCCATATCAGCAGCTGCAGTCTATCGAAATTGGAACACAAAAATTTTTGAATTCCAGATCAAAGGGTAGCAAGTAATTCAACATCCAGAAATCTTTTAAGTTAGATTCAAACAATTCAACAGTTTTTAAGTAACAACTAAACTACCTGAGAGAAAGCTGACAGCTTCACATAACCAGTCTTCTCTAGGTTTCCATCCGGGGTTCTATGAGGGATGATGGCGAGGGATATTGGGGAAAGCTTAATGTACTCACGAGGTACGTTAACCTTCAATTAGAGAATTAGTTTTTATATGTCAGTTCATCAAAGAAAACATTACTAAAGAGTACAATATGACAATATGCTGTAGTTGGAAGTGTGCTTTTGCTTGAATAAATAATCTAGAAAATTTCACAGCTCCTTTCTGGACTCTGATAGAAATCGACAACTTCACATAATAATTCAACACATTGTAATTTCCAAACAGTGAAGGTTATAATACCTCTCTGACACTTGAATCACTTCCCAAATCTTTTCCCTGGAGAACAAAGCATTAATTAGTTTGTTTTAAGTAATTTGCAATCTCTGGAAACAGAAAATTTTCTTCACATATCCAAAACAAGAACTTGTTGTATCTCCTTTAAACTTAAGGAGACTCGTTAAAAACAAAATTAGTTGTCATTCCAGACATTTAAGTCTTAATTCTTGTCCGCAATCTACCAGTAAGCTTGCTGAATTTTCATTTAAACAAAAACATTGGATCATGTAAAGAAGTTAGATTTTTATCTTTTATAAGACTCTCACTAAGGGTTTCTTTCCATATTGGTGCCTTTAAGAGCACACATAAACAGGACAATAAAGATGACTTCAGATACTTCAAAATGCATATTGATGAACTAAAATCACAAGTTAAAAAGGACTATTTCACTATACTGAGGCAAAAGACTGGAAACAAATGTAACATATACAAGTTAAGAGCAATGCAAAAAACTCTACAGGAGGAAAGTGTAGTCAGAAAACACCAAAAACAAATCTTTTTGAGCTTGTCAGACCAATCTACTATGTGAGAATCTATAAATGGCCAGAACAGGCAAATTATATGTTACAAAAAGCTAAGGTGAATCATTACACTGTGAAGTTTTACTGTAACCGATGTACCAGCACGCCCTCTAAGCTTTAGTGCTGCTGCTTCACTATCAACACCATCAAGCCTCTCCCCTGAAGTCCCACAAATAGCACTTAGAATAAGGCAAATTATATAATTGATATAAGTTCCTAAGTAAGAATAACATCATAGACTATCCCTTTCATTTTGTAAGCCGACATATTAACTCTCCAGAAAAGTAATTTTGTTTCTTAAAGATTGCAAATTTTATCAGTGTTGTAATTTGAACTTGATATTTCAACATTCAAGCCAATTTGATAAGCTCCTGAGTTACTATGAAGTGTTGGAATTCAAGATAAAACAATAACCAAACAAGAACAAGTTCAACATGGAAATAAATTATCAAAGCAGCCGAAAAACCATGGCCTGTTTTATAAATAGCCAACAATATTTACTTTACATCTGATTAAATAGTAAATACATCATAGCTCCAGATTATAATTCAATCAGACCTTGTGCCTGAGAGAATTATGAACACTTCTCGGGGCTGTTTATCAGCAGAAGATAAGATCAAGAAACAGAAATTGGCAAAATGCTAATGAACAGACCCAGTATTGTACTCTAATAAGTAAACAACAACAGCTTTTAAGCCAATTGCACAAGTATTAGCAGAACTGTGTAGCATTTTTGGTATGCAATGTGCCATGCTTTGCAGCAATGAATATCCTTTGTAGTTTCAATAATTGACAAAATTTTTAAAAATTAGATTGTAGACAAATGAGAATCAGGTGCTAATAGACACAAGATGTCAATTTTCTAAAACAGAAAAGCAGTTATTCTTGAGGTGCATGAAGAGAAAAGTTACAGATGAATAAGTAGAATACCATTAATCTCAATCAGCTCATCTCCTTCATGTATGCCAGCACGAGCAGCCGGGCTATCTTCTAAGCAAGACAAAACAACCTGCAAATCAAAGAAATTTTGAGAAAGAAAAAAGTAGAACGCTGCTGCACATGAACGTATGTGACATTCTTCTCTATCAAAGCAAACATCTAGACACCCATGTGGCAATTACTAAAAAGTATATTTAATGTAAGAAATACATATCATGAGCAAAGAAGTAAATTACATGACACATTTTAGCTGTTTAGCAGGATGAAGGTGAGTAGAATAACCAGAATCCAAGAGAAATATATCCGATATAATTAAATTATGATTGTGTTTTCTCGCTATATACTGAAAAGCATGAAAACTTTGTCTCTACATAATTGTCAAGCATCATTGTTCATGTGGTCAACCAGGAGTCGTATAGGATTAGTAAAGAAGAACATTTTAAAAACTGAATTGATCAAGCAACTCACATATCCTAAGTATGAGAAAGAACTAAATCAAATTTCACATTGTCACTTGTTTGATAAACACATTAAAAAGATTATTTTGGGTGTCACTAACCAAGTGCCCTGTTCGTGGTTCAATGCTTATGAAGACACCAACTCCTTGCAGATTTCCATCACTTCCAATTCTAAAATTTTGGTATTCCTGAAAGTAAAACCCTTGTTAGAAAGATTGCACTAATCATTTCTATGCACAGATTTATCAAACTAAAAGATGCTACCATATATTAAGAAGTTAAAAACTAACACAAACAATTAAGAAGTTTAGGAAAAAGAGCAATAACTCATGAGGCTATATCATTACTTAAATGTCTTAAGAATGTATTTACATAATCAGAAAAAGGGAAACATATTGCAAAACCTTCGGACTGATAATTCGAGTAAATGGATCTCCAAGAGTTGAAAGCATTCCACTGATTTTATTATATGCAGCATCGGCAGAACTTAAGGGAAACATTTCCACCATTGTCTGCTGCAACTTCGAATCCCAATCTGCAAATAAAAAATCATCGTAAACTTATCTTATTTCTCCATACAGTTGCTTCAATACCGATGAAAGAAGTAGCAATTATCAAACACAAACAATAGTTTTAAACAATATATCGTCGAGTTTATCTTTTTGCACAAAAATTACACAACGTAAATCGACATATAAAAACCCTTTATATTATTATTATTAATAATTTTTTCATTTGTTTTTCTCAGTCAAGATTGGCTAAGCGAAGAACTGAGATAATCCAAAATACCTTGATGATTAAAAGTTGGGTCGACAAATGTTTCTCTAATTAAACCCCAAGCTTCCACAAGAGTTCTCTGAACTGTATTCACCTAACAAAGAAACCTCATCTACTCAGCAATGCATACTACAATACAATAAATCCAACTATAGCAAAATAATGAAGTAAAAAAACAAACACAATCTAGTGATGAAAAACAAAGAAAGCTAAATAATTAGATACACTAATCAGCTAAAAACCAAAATAATCAAACCGGCAAAGCTCATTACAGTAAAAAATCTGCCAAAAAGAAAGATTAAAACGATCACCTCAGGAGCGCGGGAAACAGGAAAAGCAACCGTCAGAGACTCTGCAAACCCCGGAGAATCACAGAAAACTGAGGCCAAAGCGGTGGCAGTGGCAGCAAAACCAACGAAGCCTTCTACAATTGATTTAACCAAATGTTGAGTGGGCTTATAATTAGACTCAGTTTTAAGACGACTAGGCACTGAGTTTGACACACTCCATTTCTTGTTTAAACAGTGATTTGAACACGAAATTCGAAGAGGAAAGAGCTGAACTGAAAAGGGTTGTGGTGATTTTGGAGAGATTGTGTTTGGACAGAGAGGCGCCATGCCAAGATTTGTTGTAAAAGGTTTGAGTTTGTTAAGTTTTAAGAAGAAGAAAGATTCATGGTTAATATTTATTTAATTGTTGACGGTTATTTGTTGTTAGGAATCTTGTGGGGTCCAAATGAATCTGGTGAAGTGTGGTAATGAAACATATTACGTTGCCGTATTGGAGTATCTTACTTTTATAGTATCTGCAGCTGTACTACACTACAAGCTCAATGTCATTATCTCAATGTCATAATAAAAATTTAATTGGTTTTGATCTAAAGATGAAATTGAGAATATTTTTAGAGGTTGGTTTTGAAGCTTTCATATTCTTGGGGTCATTGACTGGACTTTATACGTAACTAATTCTGAGCCTCATGCCCTTTTTCAGCTTCGATATCGTCCAATTCCTTTGTTGTCAATGCTTGTAAAATGGTTTTAAAGGCTTCATCTACAAGACAGAATTTGAACTATTGTTCATGAAATGGACAACCATTTGGTTTCATAACTTTAGGGCCTTGAGTCCATGGTGTTCATATTTCCATCTTAAAAGACCAAATGCATAAATTAAACCCACTCCTTTTACACCTTCATGTTTCAAATACATTAATGCCTTTGAAAAGTATAAAACAGTTTTATGTTAATGGAGAAAGTAACATAACTCAAATAGAAGAAGCATCTAAATTTCAATATTGGATTTAAGAATTCATGAATAAATTTTATGGGATGTAAATGTATGGTAAAAAAGGTTTTAGTGAATAGATTCTTATTTGAAATTAAATGGGTGTCATTAGAAGTTAAACTTTTCTCAAAAGCTTTAGATGGGGTATATTAAGAAATGTTGTTTTCATAGGTGACCAAAGGGCCTTAAATTTGGGTTCAGGAAGCCCACATCTTTTGGATTGGGCTACAATTTTTAATCTAGCTACAACAATCTTCACATTTAGAAATACCCATTATTATTTATTTCTTGTCTATAAATGTAGTTAATTTAAATTTTTTTTTTTTTTTTTGTAGATTATGGGTGAAAAAAAAAACATTAATTCAACATGATATATGTTATTAATTTTTATTATTATTATTATTTAAGTATGAGAATTGAGAAGTTGTCCAAATTCCATGTGGGCTTGGGTACAAAAACTTAAATGAGAGGTTATGGAGAGCATTGAAAAGAATGTTACAAGAAGAACATACCCAATTGAGTGCCCATTTAAGGCAACAATTTAATACTCAAATTTTCAAGACACACATTGAGTGGATGCAGTTAGATTGTGATTGAAAGAAAGAAAGAAAGACTCAGTAATTTCCCACATTATTTTTATTTTTATTTTTATGTATAAAGAATCATAATTCCAAACATGTCATGTAAAGAACATATATAAATTTGTGAAAGAGATTTATTGGAAGTAATTAAAGCTATATATCTAGTAATGTATAATGTCTTCTTGATATATAAAAAAAGATTGGTTTTGATTGGATTTCCCAAAGCTATATTGAAGGAAAGAGTTATGGGATTGGGAAAGAGGACATAAAAATATCTTCACTTAAAGCAAAAGACCCAACACCACTGCTTCTTCATCATTTCATCCACTCAAATCAAACCCAAAAAGGTTTTATTCAATTTTGGGATTTGCCCATTTCTTCATTTTTATTTACAGGGCACCCTTACTATGAAAAGACTATGTTACCCTTATGAAACATATGCTTAATTGACTACATTTTACAAGGATAAAAATGGGAATTCAATCTCAAGTGTCCCATTTCATCTTTCATAGAAAGAAACCATTTACAAGGTGATGCATATGCAAATGCAGAGGGAAAACAAAAAAAAAGCTTTATTGGGAAGAGGAAGTTGTACTAGTTGTTAGATACAGCAAACATAAAATAAATCAAAGGCAAAGCTGATGAGATTGAGAATGAATGGTCACCGAAAAAAAGCCTACCTGAAAATGCCCCAACAACACTCTGACAGACAGTGAGGAATAATGTGATCAACTGGATTTAGATTTAGATTTATACCTATCCTTTTTTCATAAAGTATGGGCTAGTAGAGTTGTGAAAATCATGAGAAAGTTGTCATGCTCTGAATATTATAAAGCTGGGAATCACTTATTTTTAATTTTATTCCTCGCTAAATTTTCAAATCTTAAGGTTTAAGCACTAGTATACATATATTGCATGGATTTAGAGGTGGAAAATGAGTTGTGTCATATCTTTCCATCATTGTTCAAGTCACAAAAATAGTGTTGGTCCATCGCATGTTATGTCATATTTTTTTTTTTTTTTACCATCGAGAGTGTTCGGATCAGCTTACGCACACATCAACTAATCCTCTAAAACTTTGGAACAGTTGGTCGGATAAGAATCTTAGTAGCCAACCCTATTAGTGTCTGGGGATACTCGAACTCAAAAACTTATGAAACTTCATTTTGCTCTTTTATCATCGGTTATCCAGTGGTGGTTCATATGTTATGTCATATTGTGTTGCATATTTAATACCTTTTGAAATCAATGCAATCCATTATCCATATGTATCATATCATATTGTATTGTAAAATATATAAGTAGGAACATTTATTTTAATATATGAAAGATAGCGGCCTCAAATATTTTCATTAGATCTAGAAAAGTGATTAATCCTTGTAAATAATGAAAGGAAAAGCATAACTAATTTCCCACTAAGCAAATAAAATGAAGATATTAAGTTGAAGAGTTTGTCGTGGTAGTAGCAAATCAAATTAAAAAAGAGGTGACAAATAATTTGGTACGATAAGATTCTTAGTTGAAAATATAGATAGAGAAAGCCCACATGAAAGGTTTTCCATGTAGCTAGAATGAGACATTTCTAACCATCCCTTTAGGTTTAAGTCAAATCTTGGCATGTAAGGTCCCAAAATGTTGACACTATTCATAGAAAATAAACATATAGTTATGGGTAAATGCCAGATGTGTTTAATTTATGTGGGCTTCAAAAAATTCTTCATTATTATTTATTTATTTATTTTTTATTTTATTATTATTATTTTTTTTTATGGTTTGAGCCCAAGGGAAGATCATGATGAGTAGCTATAATGAAATAACATACAATTAATTTTGCAGGACATGGTTGCTAGGGTAGGAATTGCTTTTTGTTTATTATTTACATGATATGTATATATTAAATTATAATTCATTAGTTTTAAAATCACACAAACAAAAGTAAAAGTGAATATACTTTTCAGTAGATCTATTCTCATCGGCCTGCAGGCATCAATTTGAAATGATAATTTGCTAGTAAATTTAAGTACAAAATAGGTGGAAACTAATAATGATTTCCGTATGAACTTTCTGATTCAGAGGTAAAAGAATTTAAACGTGGATGAGTATGTTAAACGAAATACAGAAGAAAAAAATTGCAGATCCGAAAAGCTAAAGGATCGGTCCACTAATTAGAAAGAGAATTAATTTACTTAATTGCATTATAAATATATACAAATACCCTTATCTTGGATCTACTTACACCCCATGAATGGCTAAGCATTAATGATGAAGACAATTTGAAATTGTCCCACTTTGAATTTATCTAATTAGATCTAACAACGTACAAAACCAAGAAATTAAATTATTGATTTGATGGTATATTTTTGTGAATATAGTGTAATTCTTTCCAAATATATATATGTATTGATTTAGACAAAGTCAGGTGGCGTAGGGTCATCCCATCACTGTTGGGGTCATGCATTGCCATTATTCTGTCTTTTTTACGACCATTTGTAGGACTCATTTTCCTTATTTTAAGGGATGCTTCTGAATGAGAAAGGGAGTCCTCTATGATCTTCTTCAATCAAACTAATCACCCACTTCAAGTAAACAATTTTCACAACATATTCGGTTAAGATTGCCCTTAATTACATAGGTATACCAATAACTATGAACTAACTTTAAATATTATTTCATAACATGTAAAATATTAATAAATATGTAGATGCAAAATTTTCTTCTTTGAGTAAAAATAACTTCCTTTTCCTTTCTTTGGTTTATAGTGACTTTGCCTTCCATTGTAATCCAAGGTACTCCGACACTCAAATCATATACTTGTTGAAGATCATTTTATAATAGAGTGTTTAAGAGTTGTAAATTTTATTTTACTGTTTTAGCTTGACATATATCTTTGTACCTTGCTTTGGTAGGTTTGCTTCTCTTGATGAAATCCATGTACAACAAAGGATAGAGAATAGAAAGTTAAAGATAATCTACAAAAAGATTATGTTAAGATTCTAAATGTAATTGGATTCCTTCATTGGATATCTCTCCTTATCTCTTTGATGAATATTTTATTAATAAGAGAATTTTAATTGTTAGAATATTTACATAAACAAGAGAATTTGCTTGTTCTAGAAAACAAGGCCTTTACCATAAATATTCTTTTAGATGTTATCTTCTTTATTAAGGAGTTATAATGGATTACTTAAACATCTATTAACTGTATTTAAATGGAACACTTCAAATTTTAATTATCCTAGTTAACTTGGAAACGTATGTCAAACCCACTATCTACTTATTAATTTAGAGAGAGCGTTAACTTAGTATTTAAATTAGAGTTTTTCATAATTAATATGAACATAAATACTCTTATAATAATGTTTTCTTTCAAAACATCTACTTATCACAATATCCTTGAAAAAAAAAAAAAAAAATTATTTGACTTAACACATAGCTTAGTGGATTTTCCATAGCAAAGAGGAATATGAACATAAACATGTAGAACATAAAACAAAAATTTGATTATATTCATATCAAAATACATAAACAAAAATTATGTCCATAACCAAAGCCACAAGCATTGATCGATTAATCATATTATTATACACAAAACACATTAATTCATAATTCAGCAAAA